AACGCAGTGATAACAATACCACTGAGGCGAATGTTGGTGGACGCTGACCCATTGCAAGCAGATTCCACATGCAAGCAACACCGTGCTTGAATGCAAGTGACTCGTAGAAATGGTGTCGCTCCACGCCCCGACGATGCGCCAGTAGACTGAACACTTGAGTTGTCACCTGCCAACTCCTACAGTGCAACGCCCAGAAACCACTCAAGTGCGAAGTCAAGACAGTCGGGCAGATCAAGCTGGCCAACATACCACACGACCCCTCCTACTCACCACAAGGTGATTCAAGTAGTCTCTCTCCACACAGCCATACAAACAATCCCCCATTCAAGCACATCGACGGGGCTCAACACAACCAACAGTCGTTACCCAACACTGCTGCAACAGAGACTCGGTGCGCTGAACCACCTGTGGACAAATGCCACGCAGAACCGCACCTCTTTGTGACAGGCTTAAATGTGCTGACACTACTAACCAGATAATTTACCCACCAAAAAGATACTACTGAATTAAAACTTCAGCCGCCAAACCCAAAATGCTGATCCGCCAGACCGCAGTTCCATGCCGTTAACGCAAAAAACCACTCAAGTAGACAAATACACAGACGATTACTTATTTTGCCTCAACAGGGAAGGAAGACACACAATCATGGCAAAATCCATCTAGCAAACGCAACCAGGGATATTACATGCAAACTGGACGAGGAATTGCGACACGCTGTCCCCTTCCCGATCCATAAACCTCGTGTTCAAGGATATCGACTCCAGAGCCTGCTGGACTGCTCGCACACACTGCACTGGATGCGCCTTGAAAAAGGCCTAGCAGGAGAAGCAGCCAAAGTCACTTCCGGCATCGATGACAGAGAAGGTGGAAAGAAAGGGCGCACTCACCTCAACCTCCTCGTAGTCGGCCTTCGTGCAAAAGCCTTTGCAGCACGTCTAAGACAGAAACAGACCATTCAGCCTTGCAGATGCCATGGTGCACGGATTCGTTGCACGTAAATGAATGGGAGGACACGAGGCAAACAGATCACCCAAGTGACAGATCTCAAGACATTTCACGCCACCTACTGAAATTCAAATTACGCAGCTGGCACACCCATCACCCATTCCCTGACAAAGTCTCTTCCAATGCCCTCATGGCATGACAATTCCACAGAGGTGGGAAGACAAAGGGACAACTCATCCCACTCACAGCACACCACATGCTGCTGCTGCTGCTGCTACTGCTGCAGGCACGATGTCCAAGCAGAAGTGACATCTCGCATGATGACAATTTCGCTATGGTGAGGATGCAAGGAGGCAGGGTCACTCACCGAGATAACATGCGACACGATACTGGTCGCAGCGAGGTCCTCCATCAGTGTGTCGATACGCCGTTGAATCTCCCTCCACACAGCACGTCGACCGATGGCAGAGCCCGAGGACAGCGACATGAGGGGAAACAACCGGTCCTGCTTGCGCACAAGATCGGAGAAGGCCAGTCCGATCACGCGTTTCGCCAATGCGGATTGACCCGTGCAGCCCACGCAGTGAAGAATGCGCACACGCTCGTCGTGCATTGTCGCTCGCTCATACAACTGGCACAAAACACATCACCACCACTACTACTTAAACGGGGTTATAAGTAGACTACGCAGTTAAGCAAACAGCATCGCCTTGGGTGTGAAGTAAAAGCAGCCAAATGATGGCACTCCTGCCACTTCCACCCGACCACGATGGAGCCAAGCGCGAATACAGTGAACCCTTTGATTAATCTCACAGCAGTCTGTCAACCTAGCAGCTACCATTGCTGTCGCCAAAACACCTCGGCGCTCACATTCAGAAGACGCTCGTAGACATCATCTCCACCATGTCGCATGCATGTGGAGTAGACGGCAACTCGCAGATCCGCTGGAATGATGTCTCCACAAGTCGTCGCAGCACCGCAGCCATCAGCATCGCCCTTGTCACACGACATCACCGCCTTGTAGTGTCGGTCGAAGAGAGCCGTCGCCCGCGCCACCACCTCCGGTGCACCCGCGGCACCCAGCATTGCGATGAGGAGGGGACGCAGTAGAATCGCATTGTTGGACTCCTTCTTGCCTGCCTCCCAACCTTCAAACCAATTAGAATGAAAGGAGAACATAAACCGATCAATGCGAAAATTCATCTTCCGGAATGAATACGAGGCTCTGCTGATCACTCCCCAAGGCATTCGGGCATATCAACAAATGAACTTCCCGACAATATAGGTGGCTTAACCATCCACCATACCGCCGTCCCAATTAGCTAACCTGCATCCGATATCACAAAGATGCGACAGGTGTATTTTACACGTTCACGACGAGTGCCAACACCAAATCCTCCTCCAAATGCATTTGTTGTGCTTACAAGAAGGCGATACGGTGAACATCCACCACTCGCCTGAGGATAATGACTTTTGCAAACCTACCCAACTGTTTGAAGGGGGGCTCAGCCAAATGGATTATGAAGGTGTTCAGAGCCTCTTCAAAGGGTGTGGTTGCCTCCACTCCAGACGCGTCGTTAGAAGTAGCGCACCTCTCTTGAAGGAGGCTACGAAGTTTGCCCAACTCGGTGCGCAGCTCACACCAAACGATGTAATCGCCTTCACAGCGCAACGTCGAAGCCATTGTCAGAGCAGACGTCATTCGAATACGACCAGCGCGTGCCTAGTTGACCAAACAAAAGTGGGCAAAGCAGAAGTAAAATCTCCTCCAAGCGGAAGTAGGGGCAAGCACAACACGCAATTTGAGTGTGCACAAATTACACGACTCAGTTGTAATCCTCAGGGATGACGTAAGGCGCTGCCATACTACTTATAAAACAGTTCCAAGTGGATAGTCCAAGTGACAACACACCAAAGCGAAGGCATCCACCAGCACACAGAGTCGATCACGATTCTCCAACCGCCTTTCTCCCAACGCCTCCAAAATCGGTCCCATCAAACTGCCCTCATATTGGACACGATAGAACCCCACAGCACCCGGGTTCAGCCGAATTTGCGAACCACTAGGCAGGTGCACACTGAATGCCTGCGTCCGTGCTGAGGGTGGTACCAACACACGCTTCAAAATTTTGGTCGAATCTGCAGCCTCACAAATGGTCACCGGCACATACCATTCCGACGTATCATCTACAATAAGAAAAAGAAACACACTCAAATGATAGTAGTGGGCGGTGTATTTGTGCAACTCTCGCTACCGCTATAACCGCCTTCCGCGAGGAAGCGATCCTGTTGAATGGAAATGACGAGCCCGTCTTCAGCAGTGTCGGACACTTTGTGCACCGTCAAGGCGGGAAAACCCGTTTGCCGTGTCCACGTGGACATGATACTGCCCACGTCTTCACCACAAACCTCGGACAATGCATTCCACAAATCATCTGTCGTCGTGTTCCCATATTTGTGACGTTGGATGTAGAGTTGAAGACCTTTCATGAATTTCTAAAGACATTTCATGCTCCTTGAAGGCCGACTTTAGCGGAACTTACCTCCGGTCCCACGTAGTCGTTGATCATACGAATGATGGAGGAGCCCTTTTTATAGGAAACAGCGTCGAATATCTCGGCCACCTCGTCAGGAGAATGAACTTCCACCTATCAAGAGTGACATCAGGAGTGGTGAAGATACAGTAGTGTCAACAACTTAAGGGTTAAGGGGTGTGGCCAACCCACCTCTATTGGATGACTGGTCTTCAATTCATCTGTTGCCATGGCGTTGGATATCTCGTCAGTGAGGAAGACAGTCTAGAGAAGAAATGCACTACTGAAGGAGCAATTTAAGTAGTGTCGGAAAAGGAAAAGTGGCAAAAGAACACTGCTAACGACAACTACAAATAAGGTAGGCATATCTGGATAAAATAGGAGATAAATTAGTGGGCAAGTAACAAAGTTAAGAGGGACACACAACAGATACTACGGCAGGCGAATGTTCGTAAGTCGGCAATTTACCGCTGCATCTCACATTGTGGGAGAAAAGACTACTTATAACTATTTTGAGTAGGGCAGGCGGAAGAACCTACCAACTTAAAGTACCCAAGTGGATGAGAAAAATGAAACTACTAAAATCGAGCATAAGCAGCAACCAGTAGCGAATTAGGCCCAAGTCATCCACCTAACCATCCATTCATTCATTCTTCCATCTGCCCACACATTCGTTCATTAATCCAACAGTTCATTTCCTCCATAAATGGGGATACCACGCAACACCTACAGCCTCATCTAAGCAGTTGACCAAATAGGCTTCTAATAAACTATAGGCAGCATAAGAAGTCCCAAAAGCGCGATGCTGCCAAAGGGGAATCGCAGTGGACAGCGAGCCAACTCACTCACCCAGATATCGTACTCCGGAAAACAGTGGTCCACGGCCAGGTACTCAATCCACGTGGCGAAGCCCTCATTCAGCCAAAGGTGAGTCCACCACTTCATGGTGACCAGGTTGCCGAACCACATGTGAGCTACCTCGTGGGCCACAGTCAACGCCACGCCACGCTTGGACATCAGGGACGACCCCGTCTCGTCCACCAACAACCGCGTCTCTCTGTCCACAGGGGAAATAAACTGCCCATGAAACAATTATATCAGGGAAATGTGATTTGATACACTTGGCAGTGGTGGTCCTTCTGGACGGGCGGGAGACCATGCAAACGAGGTACCACCTGTTTCGCCACTCGCATAGACAGCCGCAGTCGCAGAAGAACGACGTTTGATTAAATGCGTGCCTAACTACGCGGCTTCCGCGACTTCTGCCACCACCTTAGTACCATGGGCTGCCGACAACGCTATCCTACATAGGCATACACATTCGGGAACGATGTGCTCCACCCATCAACATTTCGGAAGACGGGTAAACCTCAACACAGTCATGCATGCGTCTTGCCAGCCCCCACTGAACCAGCAGGCTGTAATAAAGCCACTTCCTGGCAGCCACTTCGCATACCATTTGCATGGGTGACTCAGACACCTCGGTAACGACAATTCTGAGGACAAACCAACTCCAGAAGAACCATTTCAACTTCACCGGGTTGACGATAGGCGCCGTATAAAGGCAAACACGCGAAGAGCCCCTCAACTACCATCGCCTTTTGACAACCATAATCCAAACCGCAGTTCTACATCAAGATCGGTGAATAGTCAGCGGACGCAATCAAAAGCATGTTTGACCATGCAGACAGGCTATTGTAAGAGGGCAATTTAAGTAGGCAAGCCAAAGGCAAAACGCACCGATAGGTCAACAGCCCCCAATTCTCCATTGCACCCATCGCGAAGTCCGGAATCGCGACTAGATCCAACTTTGGCAGAGGGTAGCCCGTTCCAAATACCTCCGTGAAGAATGGCAGGGCACTTCTCGCCATCCTTAGGGCGTGCGCACCCAAATAGGAGCGATTGGGCGGTGTGTACACTCGGATTCGGACACCGTTCACATCCCGCGCCTCAGTGTAGTCGAAACGCCCAACCACAAAGGCCACGATGTACGTGGACATGAGTGGTGTCTCATCAAAATCAACTTTCACGTACGGATGCGAGGTGGCTGTCGGTAGGCCATACTTCTGCAATTCACACGTTTCCACTGGATTCCGCGATACTTCAGGCTAGAGAAGAACAAAGGATTCTTGTTCTTACTCACAACTCAAACAAGTGAAGGGACGACGATCCTCAGTCATATCAAATGCTCAAAGTGGAGGCACCTGTTGCTTATATGCAGGGAGCGACTCGTCCAAGACCTTGATTGAAGCGGAACGGGCTTAAAAATTTTAACAACTGCCCCATCACACCACCATCGTAGTTTTCACATGGGTGGATCATCTCAACACAGCTACCCACGCCTACCTTTGGTGACACTACGGTTGCCATTCGGTGTTTGCGTATCTACGGGCGACTAGGGGTGCCCTGAGAAAAACCTTGAAACCAGGACGAACAGAGAGAGAGAGAGAGAGAGAGAGAGAAAATACTGTTTACGGTGCTGTCCACACCCAAATAGCAATGACGACAACTAGGAGACAACTAAGCGTCCATAAAAAAGTCCTAATAAATGAGGCCATTAACCGCCTTTGCGATTCGGTTGGGAAAGGAAAATGGCATCAGCCTCCCAGACGTGCAACCTTTAAACAAATGATAACTTACCATGCACGACAACGCGGTCAGGTGGTCAGGAATGACCATGGAAATGCGAAACTTGGCCTTCCTGTCAGGTTCATCAAAACAGGGAAAGGCACGACGAGCATACGTAGCCTGAAAGGAAGAGGACGGGAGATGTATTACCTATTTTGCCTTGGGCAAGTCCTCAATACAACTCCACTTTTCTGACCTTCCAAACGTTTGGCACTCTTGCAGTGAATTTACTCCCAAAATAACGTGTTTGCGAGCATATTCAGGAATAATGCAGACGTTGCACCAATGAGATATTGCCTTAGATTCTTCCGCTGTGATAAGACTTGCCTCTAGGTGAATCAGCTGATTGACAGAAAGATAGTAGACTGGGTCTGCAGAAGACTGACCATGGATGGGGTTGGATAACTGGATGAACTGTTCGACAAACGCACCATAATCACAGACACAGCAAGAAAAGAACAATACTGCCATCAAAACTATGTAGGTAGATTGCTCCGTCCTCCTGAGGCCATCGAGAAAGCAACAAAGCGAAGAGAAGGAGGACAGACAGTATGGAATTCTGAGACTGGCCCAACATAAAAGGGTATCCATGCACCTAACATGAAACCGGGGTACATAGCCCGCAGAAAAGCGTGGCAATCTATTAGGAACAACGAGGTGTGCCACCATGGATTGGCCCAAGCAGCCCCCGCCACTCAATCGACTCCAATTCAACTGAATGCTATTACAGTAGACGACACACAACGGTGAGCGACGGAAAAGCTCGAAGCAGGATGGTGTAATAGCGTTGGTTGCTGACCTAGAGCGCTCCTCATATCACTCACACTATGTCGGTGGTATAAAGACTTCAAACTAGTGAGTCTCGTTAAGGTCCTAGAGATATCTCCATTGTGATATTCGTGGCAGTGACGAGGAACTCAGTTCCAACGGAAGAACAACAGTCCAGGCGTCTAGACCTCGTAGGAGGAAGGCTTTGCCTCCACATGGCTGAATATGCGGAAAGTTGTAACTTCGCTAAGCCAATTACAAAGTCAGCCTAATAGCCAGTTCTCAAGCAAGAACTGCCTTCAAAGAAACAGAACCACCCCTCAAAGGACTGTCTACAACCTCGACATGAACAGTGATATAGACTGTTAGAAACCATGCCACTTCTCATGTTGTACAGTTTAAAACACTAGGCATTACCTCAAATTGGGTGGAGAGAATAACACGCTCTTCCCCACTGGAATCCCTGTAGGTGCTGCGATAAAAACCATGCATGTCATCGGCTAAAATGCCTTTGTACTCAAGGCACAAATCAGCATCACCTTTCTAAATCACAGTTAATGCGCAGAAGGCAAATACAAAAAGTTACCTCCAACTTGGAGTCAAAGTTTATTGTTACTTTCTCTTGTTTCTCATCATACACGATTGACTTTGTGGGAGCTAATGGAAAATAAACATGTTGGTGAATAAAAGAGAATACCTATTAGTTCCGACTTCAACGCTGAATTCGAGACCCTTGCAGATACAATTTCAATCTTTTTGGCGTTGAGAACAATTGAGTTAGTGGGCTGCGTGAGGGCCATACAGATTGTCACCTTGCCGCAGAAAGTGAAGTCTCTTGCATTTGGATAGAGCTCAAGAATGTAGACCTGGGGCTCATATATTCGTGGTAGTCTCTCGAACTCAGATTTAGTTGAAGACATCTTTTAGATAGGAGACAGCGAGGGCAATAACAACAAGGAGAGGCAGTTGCCAAAGCCTTAAATAGACTACCGCAATTGTTTTTAAACTCAAGGTCAGTTGGGATAAAATATGCGGATAGAAATAAATGCAGGCAGAAAAAAGGAGCAAAAAACTCTTCTGTGCCTAGTACTGAGTGTTCAATATTATGCATGTCTTCATTTTTCGGACATTTTGCACAAACATTGACCCCCATACATACCTATGAAATATAAACACACTACACAATTCCTCTAACACTTGGACAAAGTTTTTTCATGTTTTAAGTAGAGTTTGTTGTATTTGTTGTGCGCATCATTAGTCAAATTGCAAATGTTGACTAGCTTGTACTCAGCCGTAGTGCTATACATTACTTCCACAACAGGTTTCAATTAAGCCACGTATTTGCCAGCAATTTCCATGAGATCTGTGTGGTTATAAAGCATATGCTCTTTTTTGTCTGTTTGACACGTAATTCATGTTGCCTTTTCTGCACCTGCTTCCAGCCTTGTGTTGTTTATAGCGTTCAATTAAGTTACGTTAGACCGCATAACCCATTTGTTTTTTATTTGATAATAAGGGAAGCTAACACCAAAATGAAATTCAGGTGAAGGCATTTGACGTTCCGTATATGGCCCATTTTTCACTTGTCAAGTGGATTTGCTAAAGTCCGTTAAGGCCCTCCAAGTAGGAAACGTAGCTATCTGCACTACTGTTTTTATTGTGCTTGATCTGACAATGTGTTAACGCTAGGAAGCCAAAATACTCTGTCTTGTCTAGTTCCAAATGATAGGCATTAAAAAGTAAAGTCGCTTTAGTGAAAACTGGGCAATTGCATGGCACAGGCGGCTGGACTACCGAGCTTTCTCTATGCATACGTCCTACACAATTTGTATGTAATAATTTAATTTTCTAGGGCAAAGACTTTCTCCAAACATAAGAAACAACTGCTTTATTTTGGTGTTGGAGCATCTAGTAAGCCAGAGGATGAAGACTTTTTGTACAATTCACTAGACGTCTCTGAACGATCCTGATTTTTTCCTGAAACGGCAATCTGGACTAGTAGGAAGAGTTTCGCCATTGCTTGATATTCTAAGTAGTATCTAAAGGACGTCAACTCAGTTGCCAAAGCACTGGCACTTATTGGGAGGAATCTTGCTACTTTTCAACCAATTTTATTGAAAATCCTTCGATGTTGTTCAAAGCCACTGTTACTCCGTTCTGCAAAAGACAGACTTCTTTATCAGACTGATGTGCGGTCCTTATTCTCCCAGCTTGGTATGCAAACACTTCTAATGTCACTTACTAGGCCACCTTCTCGAATTCGCAAGCAATGATATCCACAGATCTGTTTTACGTGCCGTCAAATTTCACCTGACCAATTCCAACCACTTCATCGTCTCCTGCATTGAGAGTAGCAGCTTCATTGAGGAGTTATGGGCAGTCATGCGTTTTCCAGCATTCGGGGAGGCGAGACCAGAGGCATTGGTCATCTTCAGGCTTCTTGCAGACAAATGCAGTTTGTTTTTATCTATTCTTCTTTAAGATGCATGTTTTCAGCCAGTGCCCTTGTCCAATCACTGGAGAATGCAAATTTGTCTGTACTTTGCACCGATGTGCCGGATGAATCGGTTTTGTTGGTGAATGAGACCCTTTCAGTCTTGCTGCTACGCTGCCTAGGTAGTGGACTGAAAGTGAAGGGAGGAGAAGAAGAGGGAGACGAAGGAGTGGGGAGAAGTCTTCTCGACTTCCTCATATACCGGGTTCCACAACATCTCCACGCACAGGATGGCCTTTCACCCAGTCGCAAAATCCTTTATCAGAAAGCTGCAATCGCTAACCTTCTAGCTCTTCTATCCACTGTGAGTGAAGAGAGTACTAAACTTGCAAGAGGTGATGTGGAAGCCCTGTCGCATCATTTGACTGCTTTGGTCAAGCTAAAGCACAAAAGTGAGGAGCATTTAGACTTGTTGTCTGGCTACTTGGGTGTGTTTTCCACGCTGGATGGTGAAGAAGTAAGTCAGTGCTATTCTTCGCCCACCATTTTATAAGGCTTCAAAGGTCCTTCTAGGCATTGCGGCTGATGTTGTGCAGCCAGCAGCTGTAAGAAAGGAGGCATCGTTTTGCCTTTCGCGTTGTTTGCTCAAAGGCCAAAAAGGCATAAGTGATGAGAAGAGCATCAGGAGCCTGTTTGATGGAATTGGTGGATGTAAAATTGTCCTTTTTTTCTCCGATACACTTACATTGCTAGATTTACAATGTGCCAGAGACTGTGCTGACCTGGTGGGAGCTGCTGTGCATCTCTGCCTTGCTGTGGTTATCGGCGGAAGCATGTTCACGCATAAAGTAAGCTTTGGTGGACCAGTTGGAGAGAGGAGGAGGAGGAGGGATTGATGGCAAGAAATTTTGTCATTACACCTGGCTGGACGCCCATGCATTAATGCAGTCGCTCTATCATCCGGTGTCAGACATGCACCTGCCTGTCACTCTTCCATCGACATTTCTTCCATTCATGACCTAGTAATGTTCTCTCATTGGATTGGAACTTCCGTCCAGTCGCTCACTCGATGGTACTTTGGCTATTGGGTCGGCTTCCATATTCATCCCTCAGTTCGTCCACTTGTCTGTTTGTAGATCCACCAACCCATTGCAATTCACCTACCTACTAAGCCTCTCCATTTACTTGTGCAATGCTTCCTTTCAGAAGGCGGTTGAGGTGGGAGTCATTGAGATGGTGGTGAGCGTTCTTGAAAAGTGCCTCGGTTGTGAAGACTCCTCCACTGACAGTACCATCTTTGACGGATTGCTGTGCCTATCGCGGTTGTGTGACGGGAACACTGAACGGTAAGAGCATTTCATTGAAAAAGAAAATATTTACTTTCTGCTAGATGTCAACGTGTTGGTCCCAGTGCTACGCATGTTCTCATTGTCCTTCTCAATCGCCTTCAAACGCAACTGTGTGATCAAGAATGTCCAGAAATCACTGATTGGTGGGATGCAGAACGGCGAATGGGAAGTTGGCCTCCTCTCCACCGATTGGTCATGTGCGCAGTGGAAGCTGTTCAGTCGTGCGTGGCGAATTGCTGTGAAGATAGGCGCCTATTCATCCAAAATGGTGGTATCACGGTGCTACTGAATATTATGGAGGTAAATGCTACTGTAGTTTAGGTCAGAGGGGGACATTTGTGATCATCATAAAAGGGACGACTCCTCCTCCTCCCCTACCACCACCTCTGATTGATCAGTTCCAGAACAACTTGCTCCAGTTTGTCATTGGCGAAGAGTCCCTGTGTGCTTACGTTGGCTTGAGACCTCTTTTCCTATTGAAGGTGGCTTAATGTGCAGAGATTCGGCCACATGTAGCGACAGGGCAGGAAGAATCCCATGCTTTCCCAGACAATTCAAACCAAGAGCAGCATTTGTCTCCCTTCATACTCATGAGAGGGGACACTCTGGTCTGGCATCCAGGACTAGGTGTTTGACGTGCCGCTTGAGTGTTCACAGTGCTGATTGTCCAGTGTGTTGTGGGATGAGATCGTCGGTGATAGACGGCGTCGTCAATGAAACGTCTGCGTTGCCTAAATGTATCAATGTGTCTTAGTTTTTTTATTGGCATCATTCCTCTGGGGAATATGGCATCGTTTAGGGTTAGCATCCTCACCTCAAGCATCACCTCTACTACTTAAGGTTTGTACGTATAGGGTGACCCACGACTTTCACGTCAAAGGGGAGATTTACCATCTACTAGTCTGTGTGGTGTCGCAACCGTGACACCCATAGGAACTGAGGCAAAGCTGGGGGAAGAAGATAAAGTTCCGTTTTGATCCGAACCACCTTCCCAAAAGCAGGAGGTCATTCAAAGCTGCTTACCTAACTGCTTTAAGTGACATCACTTCTTAATCAATCCCCTGCTTTTTAATTTCTTTAAGTGCATCCCACCCGAATTGAGCCAGCCAATTCTCCGTTGTGTATGCAAAATCCACGAACACGAAAACGCTGTCAAGACCGAACTCATCTCATGGCAAGGTGTCAGACAGCAGTCTGCTATGCCAATTGACGAATCCCTATTTGAAAAGCCCGAGGTGAACTTGTTGACACAGGAGGAGGAGTTGGTGTTGAGGATGAACGAATATCGGATTGGGAGACAGCACCCAACTGAGAATAATCTAGCGACTCATTTGTGCTGGCTTTGGAGGTGGAATGAGGAGAGAATAAGGCGGGGTAAAAAACAGATCTTTCACTAGAATATGTCCTTATTTGTAAGTCATTGTATTAATTTTGAAGTATGGGGGCGTTGGAGGATTTAACGTACTGAGGAACGGTCAGCAAATGATTGGCAAATCAGCATGTGGACTGTCAACGTGGAAGGGGCGAACCATGGCAATCTCAGCTGCATAGCATGGGCTATCGTGGCAACAAGTACAGCACAAGTAGTCGTCGTTGGATGCGTTAACAAATCCAAAAGAAATGAATGGCAAGTTCTTGATAGCCGATTTGATGGACCGATGGGTGCAAAAGCGGATAGGTGGACGCGGGATTGTAGGAACTGGGCGCGGTGAAGGGCTGGATATTGTGTATGCAAGGGGTTGACACTGCCGAACGGATGGATGGATACGGGATGACTGAAGGGATATGTGATAGATGGATGAATAAGTGGACTCAGGTTGAGTGGTTAACCCTTTACTTGAGGTCCTGCTACTCAAATGATATCAGTAGACCTCTTGCGATGTCTATCTAATCTCACGATGGAATGCCACTTACTTCCTGTTAGATCAAAAGTATGCTAAATCCCCTCAGGAGTGGAGTCCTCTCATGAAATATGAAGACCTTTACCTACTCATTTACCTTCTACTGAGTACTTTAAATTTTGGCAAACACTTCCATCTTGAGGCAGACGACCAAATCACTATGGTAGACATTGAAAACTTCCCCAATGCAAAGGTGAGTCTGTAGTAAGACTACTTTCATCCTTATGCTAGGAGAACGAAGTAGTTCAGCAGATTCAGGCGGATCTTAGAAGGTGCGGTGTCAACCCAATCATTGAAGACCAAGATAAGTTGGAAAGGGCCATACAGGTTTCCCAGACAAAGGCTGAACAAGTAATGAAGAAGAAAATGGACATTATTAAGGCGGCAATTGCGTGTGACACTAGCCAAGAGGCCGAATTTTACACTCTGGTAAGTGTTTCTCACCATTTTGTGATTATAAGTGCCTAGAGCAATCATGTACTGCGATCAGACGGAATTTATTTTATTTGTTTTTAATGACTGGATTTTTGTAGCCCAGGGAAATTATGAGGCAACGCAAAGCGGCCTTGCAGAGAGACTTGGACGCACAGCTGAGAACATCAAATTACGCCTATCTTTGTGCGTCAAGACGAGAAAAGCAACGCGCTATCAACGAATCGCGGCGGCGTTGTCAAGGTGGAAGTTGTGTCACCTCGACAACGATTGAAACATCCTCATTGCAATGTGCTGACACCTGTAGCCACCTTGACGATCGCCACCAAATGACCAAACTAGATGGTCGCATTGAAAGTGTTGTGGTTAGAAAACTTTTTTTGCAGATATGCTGTAAATTTAAAAAATGCTTTAACCATATACTTTCAAGGTTCTGGTTCTGAACATAAAAGACTTCTTTCATGGAAGACTTTTCTGTTAACGTTGTAACGGAATGGGCTTCTTTTTTTAGGGTCTCTCCGAAGGAAACAATCTCACTGGTCATCAACCTGCCTCAGCAGTTATCACGAGAAATTGAATCGAAATTAATAAATTAAAATAATTTAGTAAATTTTTTTAAAACACGCAGTTGTGGGAATAAAGTACATTTATTAAACAGCCTGCTGACAATTTTCAAATTCGCTAAAAAATTACACATTGGAATTTTGTAGCCATAGCAACATCTGCCATTGGTGTGATTCCTGAGTGTACTTAAATAGATAATAGTAGCATGTGTGGCAGTTTCTGGCCCTTACATTTAGCGAGGCCTTATCTCCTCAGCAAAGCATCCACAAAATAATTTATAAAGGCGAATCCGGTTAATTTACAATTATACATACATATGTAGTAAAATTCCAGTAATGCATAATTTTGAACTAACTTCACTCTTTTCCGGTGTAGTTGGTGGGACTCACAATCCCCTACCTTCGTTTTTGTCTGCCAGGTGCAGTCGCTTTTAGCTGTATCGGTGGAAAAATTTAAAACGACCTATCTGTCACCAGTGTGTGCATATCATGTCAACAACATCTGAGTAAGAGATTAGCCACGCGTTAACTCAGCACTCATTGTCGGGAATTAAGATCAAGAAGTCACCAATTGTATTCCCTCTGATCCATTCACTCTCCCACCTCCTCTGTTTGCCACACCTAATTGCCTCTTCACCTGAAAGGTAAGCCTTACACTTCGCATTATTCAATTCTTTTGCGAATGTATTACCATCCCCTTTACACCCGCAGTCACTGACGGACTGAGAAGTGAATAGTAGGCGTAACATGCCAAACCCAACTTGTTTGGCTGAAGAGTCAAAACAGGTGCTGCCTTGAGACACGCGTTTCATTCCCCTAAGTCGAGCATGCAGAACATGCATTTTTAAGATTTAGAATTCCACCTCCATTGCAATTTTTCGACTTTTGCACACACTAAGGCAGGGCCAAAAAGGCGAGAAATAAATGGGACTTGGGTTGTTCTAGTAATTATCTTGGATATGTTGTCTGCAATAAGGATCAGTTACCCTAAATACCATTGATCCACTTCTATCCATGTCGTTAGAAAGGAAAGCTTTTTCATACAAGACCGTTTGTGATTTTAAAAACTTGGTTATTATCTGACTTATCAATAACGACGGGCAAGTGCGCACACTTCAGTTGTACCCCATTCCCATCGTGGTATTCTCAACTAACATTTATGATACAGCTTAATTTGACTCATATCAGACCATTTTCTTGTGATTATGTTGTATTTTATACATCAGTTTAAGTCAGTCATTCATTGGTCAATACAAAAACCAAAAAGCAAACGTTGCCTTGGAAATAATCACTTTTTTACTCCATTTAATGCTTTCATTAAGGGTCACTTCTTTCAAGTATGCAGTTAGTTTGCAAAAGTAATTTTCATGGCTTTAGATTAGAGCATTCTTACTAAGCTATACACATAAGTTCAGAGTGAGCGAATAAGGTTCATGGAAGCACATTTTAACACTTCCCTGCTTTATAGCTCACAGTACACTCCTCTTCTCAAAACGGGTAACTGGTAAAGAAGACCATTATCCATAACATAAGAACATTTGACTTCCTAAAGCGTCAAATATTAAGGGGAAACTGGTGGTGAAGCTCTTAAGTCTTGATTATTTCAGGTGGGCGCGAATGAAACCAAAAACAAGCATAATTGCGCATTGCAGTCTCCTCGCAACTGCTTTCCTTTTGACGGTTATTCTGTTGATCTCAGGCCTGCTAACCATAAGTCTGAAGTGCCACAGCGATACACACAAGGGGAGGTATGAATATTTTTCGATATAAAAGGAGTTTTGTGCTTAAATCAATTGGCATAAATCAAGGAATCCGAAAATATCGAGATTAAGGGCAAGTGCTTTATGACTTCGCATTTAAAACAAAGCTGATGCAGAATATGTACTTTTCTTTAAGGCATTGTGTAGTTGGCCTCTTGCTGTTCTCCGTTGGAATCCTGGCAACAATACCTCTCGTTATTGTAGCGGTAGCCGTGGATTTAGCCATTATGGGAGATGCAGATCATGCTCGTGGTGGTGATGTAAGTTGTCTGTATTAAAATGGAGGTGCCGCAAGTCAAATACGACAAGTTAGTGCAGCAGTTACTTCGACACAGAGTGAATTAACCATATCCCAGAATGCTAAAAGAGGCAAATGATGACCTTTATACGGTGATGAATTCACCTGATACTGCCGACTATGGTTTGGCTTCCATAAAATGATTAAAACAAATTTTTAACAATTCAATCGCGAATATGAATGGATTTTAAGCATTCTATTTAAAAAAACAAACATTTCAGGATTATTTGCTGATTTTTACTGTTTCAAATAAAAATAACTGCCTGATTGCTGCCTCTTAAAATGGGCCTATAGACTTCATTAAACATGTGCAGGTTCTAACTTTCAAATCAAAATCAGAATTTCTTTCCTTACATCGTCTTATTTTAGGCCGAAAATGAACTATGGAAAAAACCCATGAAAGAGGAACTTGCGAAATGTGAATGCGAACCACTTTAAAGTCGCTTCGTTTTCATGCACCATCTTACTGACCCTCGATTGATGGATCACTTAAGGAACCTGCTTGTAAGTATTGTGCAATAAAATTGATAAAAGTTAAACAACCTCTTTCCGTAAAACTTTTTCCAAGTGCGAGATAGTCCGGACAACGCTGAATAGAGTAAAGCCCAAAATAGGCGGGTTGTCTCAGTTTTGGAGCCATTTGTGGGTTTCGTCTTTACGTGGCCCTGATAAAAATATAAGTTTTAGAATATTATGCAGTGTTTTGACTGTTTGTTTTGTAATTCCTTTCATTAAGCGGAACTTATATCCCATAGATTGGGCCTTGCTTAACGGAAGACCTCAGAGCCAATTAAGCGGCTTTTCTTTTTAACTGAACGTTAATTAATTGAATTTTTTCTTAAATGTTTGATTCGTTTCGTGTTTTTATAAATTTACTTAGGTGCATTAAACACTACTACTGGGAGCAGCTTTGACCAAGAATTAGAATGCAAATTTCGGCTTGCAAAAATGGTCCGTATTTTAAAGCGAATTACTGCCTACTTTGTAAAATGTATGAGTCTTTAAAATGGTTAATGCTTTCTATTTCATGGTGGAAAACATTTTATTGTGCCTTTCCGTTTGTTGTAATTGATAAATGCAGCGGCGATCTTTCAAAAGCTCCGAATTTTTCAAAATGGGTGTGTGGAGTGCGCCTGTGCACATTTGTTTTTTTCTTGAGAGAATTTGTTCTAATTTTGCAACTTGTTTGTACTTTTAATTTTAAATTATTTTTTGTAGTCGTATTGTAGCAAAGTTTTTGCATATCTTTGATTGCTTATTGCACGTAATATTACCTGTGAAATTACGGCTCCGATGTTACTCGCTGATACAAATTTCTTTTCCTTTTTAATGCCTCTTTATTGTATTTTTACGCCTGCTATTGATTTCTGTATTTTAAATGGTGAATCTTAATCTTTTTGGACCAGTGTTTTATAACATTGTTCTCCGTAATTATCGCTATTTCTAGATACAGAAACACCTTCCAAGAATTCACCTTCAGATTTTCTATCGGAGTACCGAAGTGGCTCTGCCTTTGTCTCATCGTTAAAAGAAATTCATGCACACATGCAATCTCTCGAAGAATCCCTCTCCTCCACTCTCCGCGATTATCATGAGAATTTTCGTCCTGTCGCCGCGCAAATCACACAAAACGCTGCTGATTTGCGTCGTCTTCAGAGCTGCATTGATAAACTCAATGCAGAATTTCATAACAAAGCAAGTCACTGACTCGAGTTTTTGCTTTTTTAATTCCTTTGCAATGACAACGTTGTCGTTTGCATTCCCGTCTAGGGGGCTTGTTATATCCTGCACCTACTACGACTCTCGTTCAATTTTCGCATAATTGGTTTTAAGTTAGTATCACTGGTAATATGACATCTGGATCTCTTTTGTTGCTTAGTCCCTATCCTCACACATGTTAGGTGTTCCCGTAACTTTGTTTCTTCCATGATGGTGTTAGGTTTTGTGTTCGATAAAAAATAATTTGACTGACTCGATTTATAAGAGTTTAGGATTTTTAATTTTAATTACCCATATAGTCTTTGATAAGACGCAGAAAGTTGTTCTTCTATGTTTCCTCATTTATTGGCTATGCGATTCCCTCTGTAGAAGAGGAAATTTGGTCTGTCCAGCCTCCTAAGCATAACTACGAGGGTAGACCCGAGAGGCGCGTTTGATTTTGTCTCACGGTGACTTAGCATTGACAGTTGGGTGTTATCACATTCTTGGTACACCGGTTCGCAGCTCATGGAACGATTGGCGTCTCAGTGTTCTTAGAGTTGAATGGGTCTTGCGTTTCCAATCTAAACTTTGTTTTTTCTCTTCTATCTAGGTTAAACCACAACTAGAGGGAGTGGATATTTCTGCAGATGGTCTTCCAGTTCGTGGGACCCCTTCCATGGTGCATTCACAAGCTGTAGAAGAACTTGAGGCACTCTTGAAGCTTCATAATAGCTGTCAGCATCTTCTTCGCCTTCACAATGGCTTGGAATCCCTCGGCGACCGAGTAATTGACCTTCTGCGTCGCTGCAGTCTTCGCAATCGTGGAAACCGTCCAGGTGTTGGGGAGGAACCCCATACTGACGATGATAGTGATGACGATGATGATCTAGAGGTGGAGGAGGATTATCTGAACGAATGGAAGTGTGATTCGCCTGCAAGTTGTGGAAACATCGAGTGCGTTGATAGGTGAAGTGTCTGCTTTAAATGCAATTTTGGCCGTATGTAATTAGTGCCCGTTTTGGTCACTTTTTTAGGGTTGAGGTTTCAGCAATCGTGGCCGCGATCAAAGAAGTGGAGAGCCAATTGGCAGTTGATACATTCTATGAGAAGTCGGAAGTCGCGCTCTTTCAAGCCTTCCTGCGAACTTGGCTCGATCGAAAGGTGTGACGTCGCATATTTCAATAGACTCTTCCGTATTTTCGATAGTTTACGTCAGGTGTATCTCTGTGTGTGTTTTTGTTTTATTTGTCTACCGATTTAGCGGTTACTGCGGGACTTTGTCGACCACTACTGGTTGAACATGGTGCAAATCCACTCTAACCCGAAGGGGAAATCGACTGTTGGCAGGTTGGAGATTCTCGGCACCACCGCTGAATTGCAAAGTCTCATTAGTCTGATGAACGCATTGCATGAAGCTGAGGTAGATCACTTCGGATTTATATCTGCTTAAATCTGACAAGTTGACATGACTTTGTTTAAGCCCTTGTCGGTGTTTTAGAAACGCGTCCAGAATGTTGGTGAAGGCATTTGGAAGTTGCTCTTTGTTCCTTGGCTGAAGTTTGTTACTTCTGAGAGAAATTCAACGTCCAAACACCTTAAATTTAACGTAAGCGCTTAAGTCTTATCGCTCCTTTGCTCAAAAAAAGAGGAGAGCACTTGTATATTCGCTCTCTGGCTCCTTCAGATCGACGAAAGTTCTGGAAAGGATTTGCAACAGTTCTGGCATCTGGAGCTCATTGAAGTCGACGCAAAAGATGTCGATGGTCTGACTTTTATTCTTGACACCTGTCGACAGTTAAAATCAACTATGCTTGATTTGTCCACCAAATTCTTTGGCTTATCTGTTGACGATAGTCGTCGTCTTATCGATCTGTGTGTGACCGCATCGAAGATCTTCAACATGGAAATGGCCAAAAGTCTTCTGGAGGGATGCTTCCTCCCCAATTTGCCAGATGCGCTTACCTCTCCCGATGATAATACTGTGGAATGTCGCGAGGATGACATTTCCAAGGTAACGATGGAAAACTTTTTAGTGGAAAATGCTGGTAGTAACATTTTTTTGTCGTGTCAAAATCCTTCCTTCTTGTAGTTTATTCTAGCCACAAACGGGGCAATTTCTCCCCTCGTGTCAACTGCTCAGGAACTAGGCTACTTCCAACGAGAGTCAGTGGATTGTCTTACAGAATTCCTAAAAAGTCTTGGACGTTTAACCATTCAACGTCAGGATCAAGCCTATGTTCAGGCTCTGATGCGGATTTTGGAAAGGGACGCCAATTTCGCAACACTTGAGAAGGTACCCTTTGGTGATGATGTGCGGGTACTCTTTTTCTGTCCCATTAATTAATAATCCCGCTTAACTGTCATATCCATTTTTAATCTCCGTACCTGATTTAGAAATTTGGGTTTTTTTAACTTTTAGTGATAGCAGCCCCTGCTCACTAGTATTGCATGGTAGTCGGTAGCTCTTTCTACTTAAATTAACTTCAGTAAACCTATTCTTTGGGACCTAGGTTGGTGGCGGCAAGAGAGAGCAGGGCGGTGCTGATGTTGGTAAGGAGAACAGCATCAGTGGGCTGACAGAAAGTCAACTGGAAGAAGTCGAACTGTCGAAACTCTTCCACAACGTTCATCTCGAATTCCCCGTTTGCCACGTGAGTGAGCCTCGCTTATTTCGCACCCAAGTCGTTCCACCGCTAACCGTCGCTCTTTTACCGGCCACTAGATCTCCAAATCGGTAATTCTTCTGCTCAAACAAGTGGATCAGATTATCAAAGATGCTGATTGCTGTGACAAGGACCACCTTCCGACCGTTTTGCGCCGAATTCCGCACCTCATTCACCTCTACTCACATTGTGTACCAACTTTGCACGCGGAACGCATGAAGAACGATCTCAGATTCGTGGGTAGGTGGTATTTGTTCATTAAATAATCGTTCTTATTGTCTCTACAACTCTTCTCTCCTGAAAATTTCCACTGGAATTCTTTAAGGGCGCATAAATGACGGCTATCAAGTAGTCCTTTTGATTCAGAAAATCCATCTGCTAAGTTTGCACCTCGAAAATGCCTGATTCAAGTATCTTTATCCACTTTCATTAAGTTGGCCTTCTGAAAGGGAATAGTCAAGTATGAATTCTTGCAGTCTGAGCTTCAATTTCCAAATTGTGCCAACTTCTAAAAAATCGACAGAAGGATCTGCGCTCAAGATTTGCTATAACGGAAGTCGTCCTACGTCTTATTCAGCTTTATGACGCAGATCATGCATCGTTGGGGCTTTAAGAAGTGTATAGGCGTTTCATGGGTTGGATGAATGTCAAAACTATGAGCTGAGAACGGTGTCCTCAAGGTTGGGTTTGTATCTGTCGGATGCACCGCCACTTAGGGCTGGGCACTACCATTACCACCGAATCGTCCTCCAGGTCTTCCATTGACACAAGAACTTGCAAGTTTCACGTACCACTTGAGGCGCATCTCAATGCGTGAACACACTACCGCTGCTCTGTGCTACTTTTATTAACGGATTCCGCACCGGGCTGGCTGACGACATGTGCGGCGACCATCGAAAATGCCGAAAAGGACAATTGCCATTTAACACTTCCTGCAGCATGGCTTTAGGCGCCTGTCGTTTTGATTTTATCATCCTTGGCGTCAAAGCTGAATCAATACTATGTGGTTGTCTCTTTATTTTTCTCCCTTTTTTGCTAGCTATCTACCACAATGATTGTATGTACCTCGCTCACCAATGCCTAACCCTGGGTCGCCGCAAAATTTATCCCCTCGTCGAATCAATTGGTAGTGAAGAAAGCGATCTTCGTACTCTCGCATCTATTTCCACCCTCCACCTTGTCAGTCCACTTCGGAATTCCGCCACTTCTACACTGTTAACCCACCTCCGCGACCGCAAAGCTCAGCTGGGTGACCTATTCAACTCCTGTCGTGGTCTAAAGGTTATTTCATAAACCAATGGCCACTTAAATGCTTTTAGTTGCGATTATTTTATCGAAGTACTTTGTTTTGCTTTTCAGGACTGCGCTGGTAAAGGCAGTGAAGCTTGCGAGAAGGCCATTCTGGGTTGCGTCTCTCTCCTTCTTTTCGTCTTTAATTCCCTAAACCTCCTCCCAGTTACCGTCTACCTGCGTATCATGGGTACGTGTCAACTTGTTTCTCCCGTTGAGTGAGCGTTTAGGCGTTCTGTCGGATGAGTTTGCTCGCCTTCTCTGCGATGCGGTGGTGGGATTGGAGGATATAACCACGGTGGAGTGTTCCACGCTGCTACGCCTAATCAACTCAGCCATCCAATCGGTAAATTCTAAACTACTTACAAATTTGTAAGTAGGGTGTGCTAAGTCCCATTGTTGGGAGTGAATTAGCTGGTGTTGCACTTGGTCACGTACGCAATCTTCGCAGGGCACGAAGTTAATTACTTCCCAAATGAGAAGACTTATTGGAGCATTCCAAATTGAGAAACTTAGGTCAAATAATCACCCAGGATTCATCCATTTTTGTTCTATTTTTGCCCCTTTTTAGGAATTTTTGGTTTTTTTTTTCACTTAAACAGGTAGGTTTGTCGGGTGCCAGTGGAACGCTTGATTGAAATGCACTCCTTTTAAGTGTTTTTTAACGATGATGAGATAGAAACACCCAGTAGTTTGTGTTACCTGTCAGCTGCTCATCCTTCTGTCAATTTGCCAAATCACCTCATTTTTTTATTAGTACACATTTGCCTAATTTACTGGTGATGCTGCACACATTTTTGTGTGTGTCGGGTGTACGCTAATTAATTAGACCATCAAAAGGGAATATACAGGGATGGAATATTGTCTCCCATATCTCTTGTAGGAAAGAGATTATTTTAGAGTGTCTTCCAGCATAGCTTGTGCTTCTCTTTCGCTCTACTGCCTGTATGTATTCTATTGCTTAGAAGGAGATAACAGGTACGAGGTCCTTGGTTCCTCCTTTGAAGAGGATTGGCGGCTTTTTTTGCAAAAATTGTGTTTTATCTTTACTAACTCTAAAGAAGAAATCTGTTTTTTATGATTCGATAGTCAAAATGTATTGAAGTTATGCTAAAAATGCTTGTTTTGTACCTCTGCTAGATAACTCGCATGTTCGAAAAGCACCTGGATGCTGCATTTGATCCCACTCTGGGCGGTGCTTTGGCCAAAAATTGTGAAAAGGTACGAAATTTTCCCAAAAATTGCATGGGCTATTTGTGTTGTGGCGGTTTTTTCATTCCAAGTTTTTAATTTATCAAAAACTGTTTAGTAATAAGTGACTTTTTCCTCACCTCCTCAGATCAGTAGATTTTTTATTCTGATTAACTATCTGCACCAAACTACTGAATTTTAAAAGGCCTTTTTGCGGGAAAAAAAACCATTTCTTTTTAAATATTACCAGGATTTGAAGGACTTGTTGCTAGTGCGTCGGCACAGTTCGGCTTGCTCTTGTACCTCTCCTTCACCCTTCCACCAATCAGATTTGCGACCTTGAGAAGATCAACATACAGTTCGACTAATCACTGCGAGCGCCCGTAATCGACACGTTTTCATGCTGTCCATTCGGTCGTGCCGATGTGACACTGCTTTTTGTCTTGTTTTTATCCACATGCAACCTTGTAGTCGAAAACTTTTTTTGGTCGTGAAGAGGGATTTGGGTTTTGTGTGTGTACTTCTCGACACTCACATGTCATTTTGTGATTCCCATTCTCGACTTATTGGGCGATTTTTCTTACTGCGTTCTGGCGAATCGGAGACTAGCTTAGCGCAGAAATCGTCATATTTCTATTTCTTTCGAAGTTTGGTCTTTAGACTAGGAGAAATGTTCTTGCCTATAGTTTAGCGTAAAATTATTGGGGGGTTCATGGGGGTGACTTAGCTCATTGGTGAACACCTCCTTCTATCTTTGTTCAACGTAAATCGCTTACACTAACCCCCTGTAAAAGCATTTTGATTACTCTCTCTCCCCTGGGCGATTTATTTCCCAGCTCTTTGGGGCATTTAACTGGACATCCAAAGTGGTCTACACTTTACACTTAGGCACTTCTATCCACTCCAGGAGAAAAGTGGCTGTGTACGTGACTCTGTCGTTGAATTTGTGCTTTTGGCGTGCATAGGCATGAAACATATTTTCTTTTTCGGTGGTGAGATTTGAGAGCAAGCTTTGCAGCTATCTCCACCCGAAAATGACTAACCTTACGTCAAATTGCTAGGTCAGTCGTTACCTCGGGCAGACTAGGTCTCAGGACATGCTCAACCACGGCAAATTACGTGTCCCGAAATGTCTCTACTCGTAGAGTACCGAAGCGCTCTTGTGTCAAACAGAATATGTCGATTTTTCTTCTTATATAGAGCGTGAACGTATTATTGGAGCGACGCATCCCTTCTTGGCCGCGCCTTGTCAGTCTTCATGCCGTTTTGGCCGCTGCGTCACTCGAGGAGATCCGTTTTCTTGCTATTCCTCGCTCCTCTACCTCCACCATTTCGCTCCGTCTCTCGACCGATGAGGTGCGCCGTCTAGTACGCGCGCTCTTTCGTCCCTCTGCTGCGCGTTCAGCCCTCCTCCGCGACTTGGCCGGCGGTGGCAGTGACGCCAGTGGCGATGTTTCTCGGTGAAAGCGACTATTTGTTTGTTGTCACTTTTTAAAGCGTTTATTAAAAAAGTTTTTATATGTCTCCGGTGGTTACTGATTTTTCTTGGTTGGGCGATTCCCTGTTGTTGATTGTGCCAGTAGTGGCGGTCTAATCTGCCTCAGATCTGTCAGCTCCACATCCTAGTGACAATCTCTTGGTCCATCCGAATTCTGCCATTCTTTATTCTTCCATTCATCTGCCTGCTCTGCATTCCTTTGTCCGTTCCGACCCCATACCTCTGCCTGTGATATATTTTTTATCCTACTCCTCAAGTATCTCGAGTTTTTTAGTCTCTATTCATCTTGGAGTCGTCCGTTTGCCCTCTCTCCGCTCGTAGATCTGTTTCGGACCCTCAATTTCCTCACCTGTTGATCCATCCGTCTAGGATTAATTTATCATCCCACCTTGGTTTGTTAGACGATGTCAACCTACTTTTCTGAGGCTAAACTTCTATCCATAGCAAACTCATTGTAAATTTCTTTTTTTTGGTGATTTGCCGATTAGTTTCAGGCAGGCGCCATCCCATGACCCATCACATGAATGTCAGTGGAGGTTCAACAATTTAATTTGACATTTGGCAACATATGAGAATGAAACACAGGAATCTTAAGATCTAAAATGCCACTAAAAAGGATTCAAGTTTTAATAGGCTTCTTTTTTTCCCATTTTTTTTTCAAACAACAAAAAAGCAAGGCAGCGGCAGTCAAACTTGTAGTAATTTTGTCAATGCCACGAATTTGAGAGTCCTTGGAACACGTGGCGCTGGCGTGATGCGGGCGTGCTTGCTAGCACCTGAACCCACCGGCGAGTGCAGTTGGGGTGCCATTGAGGGGCGGCAAAAGAGCTTCAACCTCGGTGTCGGTGTTTGGCATCGGCTTTGGTGTTCATTAAAAACCCATGCGATTATCTCCCTCTTGAGAGGAAAAAATGCAGTGAAATGAGCTACTCAATGGTATTTAAAATATTACTAATGGGTTCACCAAAAATTTTAAAGAAAGGAAAGTTTATTTTTCAGACCCCCCTTATTCCCCTTCTAAGCCGCGAATGTAGGCGGAAGAGTAGGGAGGAAGAATTTCTTCCAAGTGAGGCCAAAGACTAGGAGTCTGATTGGATTGATTGGAAGAACACACCGCCAGGAGAAAAGCGGAATCTATGGCAGTTAAACACAAGCAAAGTGGTGTTAATTTATTGCCTCGTCAGTCTACCCCAGATCCATCCCGTATCCATCCATTTTTCGACCCAACTCTCCCCCCCCCCCTCTTACAGCCTCCACCACAAAGATTCTGTGGATGTGATTTGCCAAATTGCCCTTTTGTGGATAAGTTCTTCTTCACCACGCCGGGCTGAAGGCGTAGCAATTCCTCCCATTGCGTTGAAGGTGAAGGATCAAGAGCATCCAACCACTCATTCACCTTTCTGTTGCTGTCCTACACAAAACCTATCACCCAACAAGTATATGACGTGTGTGTGGTCTGCTGGGTTGGAGCCTTTGCAGATGTAAACGACCGTCTTTTGTTTACCCACGCCTCTTCCCATGGCGCCATATGTGTGACGACGTGATCAGCAACTCCGACTGTTAATTTCGAAACAAAAGTTGGCGAATTTATTAAAGAAGATGAGGCACAACTCGGAAAAATCAACAGTCCGATGGAAACAAACATTTTCGTCAATTTTGCGCATTTTTTGGCCGCTTTTGAATCAGAGTTCATCAGAATTGTAGGCGTTAGCAAACCAACCATTTCCTGATGATTATAAAGGTATGGGTAAAAAAAGACAATGAAAAGAAGATTGGAAAACAATTGAAAAACAAAAATGCAGGTAGATGATGGGATACATATAGGAAGGACGAAAGTATTGATAGCTTGATGAATCGGTAAATGCAGGAAGGATCGATGC